CCCCTCCTTGCTTATGGAATAGCTAGCTCAGAGAGGACTTTTACCAAAGGCCACCTTACAGAGATGATTTCCCTCAACATCTTAACTACCTAATGGGCTTAATACAGAATTTATATTTACAATTTTCTTGTTTATTGTTTGCCCTCCCCATGAGACTACAAATTCTATGAGGACAGGGACAAACTTTCTCTTTTTCTTTTTTTTTTAATTGAAATATATTTGACATACAAAAGTTCTGTTTTCTCTATTACTGGAATATCCAATGCCTGACACATGGAAGATAATAAATACAGGGTGAATTAATACACTCTAAAGGGCTGAGGCAATTAAGATTTTTTTAAGACTCAAGTATGAATAATATACAAAAGGTTGATGTAAAGAAGTCAATTAACTAGACTAGTGAAGGCAATGACTCTAATCAACTGCAAAGAACTTCTTCCTCTCTTGTTTTCTACAACTCTTGCAGAGATGTTTTTGCTGTTGTGTTTGTGTGTAGAAAAGAGCCAAAATGTGGGTTTTTTTGTAAATTCTGGTACATTCATGGTCAGTATTTCTACAGCAATGAATGTAACATATAATTTAACTAAGAGTGTATATTAATAGTTCTATAATTTAGTCCAGTACTGAGTCATTTAGAGTTTAAAACAATCACCTTCAAAAGACACTATTGGGGCCAGCCCTATGGCCAAGTGGTTAAGTTCTTGTGCTCCACTGCAGTGGCCCAGGGTTTTGCCAGTTCGGATCCTGGGCGCAGACATGGCACTGCTCATGAAGCCACGCTGGGGCAGCATCCCACATGCCACAACTAGAAGAACCCACAACTAAAAATACACAACTATGTACCGGGGGGCTTTGGGGAGAAAAAGGAAGAATAAAATCTTAAAAAAAAAAAAAAAAAGACACTATTAAGAAAATGAAAAGACAACTTACTGAATGGGACAAAATATTTGCAAATCATGGTTCTGATAAGGGACTCACATCTACAATACATAAAGAACACTTACAATCTGATAATAAAAAGATAACCCAATTTAAAAATGGGCAAGGATTTGAATAGACATTTCTCCAAAGATGACATACAAATGGTCAAGCAGCATATGAGAATATGCTAAACATCATTAGTCATCAAGGACATGCAAATCAAAACCACCATGAGATACCATTTTACACCCAATTAGGTGGCTATACTAAAAAAGATAATAACAAGTGTTGACACAGATGTAGATACATTGGATCCTCACACATTGCTGTTAGGAACGTCTAATGATGTAACTGTGGAGAAGTATATCAGTTCCTCAAAAGGTTAAATGCAGAGTTCTTATATGACCTAGCAATTCCACTCTTAGATATATAGCCAAGGAAAATGAAAACACATCCACACAAAAACTTGTACACAAATGTTCACAGCAGCATTATTCATAATAGTCAAAAAATGGAAACAACCTAAATGTCTATCAACTGATGAACAGATAAATTCATACAATGGACTATTTGGCCACACAAAAGAATGAAGTACTGATAGATGCTACAACATGGATAAGCCTGGAAAACATTATGCTAACGAAAGGAAGCCCATCACAAAAGACCACATATCACATGATTCCATTTAACAAAATACTAAGAATAGGCAAATCTATAGAGATAAAGTAAATTATCTTTAATTTATGGGTTGATGCCAGGGGTGGGGGATTGGGGAATGGTGGCTAACAGGCTTGGAGTTACTTTTCGGGTGATGACAACATTCTAAAGTTGTTTATGGTGATGGTTTTACAACTATATGATATACCTAAAACCACTGAACTGTACACTTTAAATGGGTGAACTGTATGGTATGTTAATTATTTCTCAATAAAGCCGTTAGAAAACAAAAATAAAATGGTCACTTATGTTTTTGGTTATACTCTATTGCATTTATTAAGGAAATTATAGCTACTTTGGTCTTCACAAAGGCCTTGGGGTATATCCCTCCAAATAGAAGTTCTCCGTCTTTAAAGGAGACAAAGGTAGAAAAAGAGAGGAAATCTTCAGAACTGAATGATAAACAAGTCTGACACATCATTTTACCTACACCTACATCCTTATATTTTGAACAGTTATTTTTCCTACTGTCACATTTTCATCTTCTTTAAACTCTTCAAGAAAGTAAAGAATGCCTCACAATAGAGAACGTTCAATCAATTTTCCTTAGTTTATTTCTTGATTTCTCTATTTCAAATTTGATCAATTCTTTTCATAAATACTTATTTTGCAGAGGTAATGTGAAGATTCAAGATCTCAGAGGAAGACGGCTAACACAATGCCTGGTGCTCAGTAAATTACTATCATTATCATTATGATACATAAGACAGAAGATTCTCAAGTTGATGAGCAAAACTGCAGAGAGGGGGGACACAAAGGCTATGCCTTACAAATGCACAGTCATGTGTCAAGAAAAGGGAAACCCCTGGCAGAATTTAATCCCAGACCAAAGTGACAATTGGAGCAGGAGCATGATCATCACTACCATTATTACTACCATTACTATCATCACCCAACACCACCCTCCTCCTAATTTATGTATATGCCTTTAATTTCTTCTAATTATGAAGCACTTAAACATATGGAAACCCCAAACCCATCGAATAGCACATCTCATCATTTTCTCACATTTGTATCAATTTTTTAAAAAAAATATATGAAATATAAGATAACACAGATCCACTTTCATTTCCTCTCTCCCTCAGAATATGGTGTTAATCATTACTATGGACATTTCAACTGTAATCACAGGTTATCTGTAAACAATATTATTGTTTCGCGTGTTTTAAAACTTTACCAAATAGTATATTGGTCTGTACCTTGCTTTCTTAGCTCAGCATTTTGCTTGCTGCTTTTTAATTCAGTTGTGTTGTTTCATGTAGCTCTAGTTCACTCGTGAAAGCTGCTGGACATTATTATATTGTATGAATAGTCATGCCTACCTTAACCACAGGGATATGTTCTGAGAAACATGTCGTTAGATGACTTCATCATTCTGTGAACATCACAGTGTACTTACAGAAAACCTAGATGGTATAGTCTACTACACACCTAGACTATATGGTACTAATCTTAGGGACCATCGTCATATACGTAGTCCATTACTGACTGAAATATCATTATGCAGCACATGACTGTATCACAATATATTTTATGCAGCACAACTGTATCACAATATATTTGTCCAAATTCTAACCAATGAGATGTTCAAACTGTTTCTAATTTTGTCATTAAGAGGCTGCAATAAACATAATTCCTTGAGCAGAGGTACTAGTTTCTAGAAATATTCCTGGAAGAACTGCTGGGTCAACGGATATATACCTTCAACTCCATTAGAGGTTGCTAAGTCGATCTTCTTACACTCCAACCAGCAGTGTAAGAGAGCGCCTGTTTCTCTTCATCTTCACCAATTCTTAGTATTGTCATACTTTTCAATTTTGCAGACTAAAAGGTATAAAGTGGTACCTCATTGGTTTTTTTTTCCTAATTAGTAAGATTAAGTATAATTTATTAGCCTTTCAAGTTTCCTCTCATGTGAAATACGTTTAACAGTATTGCCATTTTTCTATTCATTTGTGGAGGTTCTTAAGATAGTCCGGGTATCAATCCTTTATTGATTATATGTGTTTCTAAATGCTCTTTCCAAAAAAAAGTATAAATCTGTTGCTGATTTTGAAATCTAGTGAGGTCTACAAGCAAAGATAATTCCTGCCTTCTCAAAGTTCACAGCTATTTTGCAGACGTTTATATCTCTTTCTCAAACCTTTTTGGCTACTCACAGAAGACGAATTCCTCTTTGAGAGCCAATACATATACACTTACATATGAACTGAAAAAGGAGGCTCTAAATCCATTTCTTCTAAGTGATCAACCACAAGCAAATACATAAGAAAAGGACAGTTTGTCTCCATTCTACATAGCCAATGCTACATTTTGGCTCTCATATTAATACGTTATATAGCTTTTACATGGGTCAGTAAACAAGCACCTACTTTGAATAATAACAGTTTGTTAAAGCCCCTAATTAGTAAATAACCATTATATCGATACATCAGGATGTCTAAAACAACAATGAAGAGTGCCCACTCTCTCTATCCAATGAATTAAGGTACAAACCCAGACTAAGCAAATGAAATTTCTTTATTTTCAGTCTCACTAACATACAATCAGTTCTTACAGATAAAGCTGATTTGCAGAAGTGAAATGATTCTGGATATTTTAGTGACAGCAGATTACTGCTCAAAAAAGTTAACATCATTTACAGGAGCACAATCGAATGTTTTGCAAAATAAAGACGCTGCCCTAGAGGCATATAATCACACAGCAAGAAAGGACCTTAAATCACTTACTCGAACTCCCTCACTTTCAGGTGAGGAAAATGCAATCCGGAAATTAAGCAATTTGCCCAATCCAGGTCTTCTAAAATCTACAAATTCAGGGTTCTTTCCATTGCATCACGCAGCTTCTTCTTTTAGACTCCCCAGTTTTAAAGCTCTGATTCCTCTATTAATCTTACAATTACAAGATCGAGTTGATGTGTTATAGAAATGATGGAGGTAAACTCACACCAATCTTTTCCTTTCCACGTCTCTACCCTTTCCCTCTCCATCCTCCATTATAATCTACGGAATGAAAAAAAAATTGCCTGAATTTCTGGCTCTAATTAGGTGCAGAGTCCTGAGCCCCTGGCTACTGTTTCTGTGTTAAATCAATAGAAGTGTTTTTTTTAAATCTTCCATTCCTTTATTCTACATTAGCTACTAAGCGCCGACTTTGCAGGAAGCGCAGTGCACACGGCTCCTCCTAGCCCGCGGACCACCAACGCCAGGAGGCCGGGGGCGCCAGGTAGAAGGATACCAGGCAGCGGGGAGCTGGGATCGCAGGGGAGTGAGGCTCCCGAGGCGCGTGGTGGGGGTGGGTCTTAGGGGCGCTAGGGAACAGGCCGGGTGGCGGGGAGCAGCCGAGAGGCGCGGGCGACTCACCTTTACGCAGCTCCCGCTCCCACACTGTGACGATGGGCCGCGAGTGCTTGCGGTGGTGGATGAGCCACAGGGACAAGGTCTGCACGCTCTGCTGCGAGTTGCTCAACTCCGACAGCTTCTTCTCCAGCGCCGCCTCAGAGAAGGCGGACATCCCTCCGACACCGCGTTCACGCCGTTCCACGCGGTGGGGCCAAGGGGAGGAGAGTTTCGCCGCCCTCGCCGCGGCCTCGCCCCCTCACCCCACCCTTCCCCACTGCTGCTGCTACATCCAAGACTGGCCGCAAACCAGCAAGATGGCGTCCGGCCTGCAGTGACGTCACGGCCGACCAACGCCCCGCCCCCGGAAGAAGCGGGGCCGGGAGGCGGGTCCCCCGAGCGGAAGGGGCGGTGCCGAAACTAACGCAAGGGAGGCGGACGCGGGTGTGTCTGGGCCGGGCTCTGGCGCCCGGCGGGAAACGGTTGTTGGGCCTAGAACCCAACTGGGGGCAAACTCTCTGGCAAGAGAGGAGTGATTCAAAACGTCGACATAGGCGTGAAAATTGGTACAGCCACTTTGAAAGACTATTACATTTTAAAATACACCTTCCCCGTGACTCTGCAGTTTCACTAATTGCTGTCAATGATAGTGAAACACCAGCATGTTTGCGTAAGGAACTGTATGCTGGTTGTTCTGTGCAGGGCAGTAACATTGAGAAGTTAGGACGTTCACAGCAGGTAAATGGCTAAATTAATTGTGATACATCCATATTGCAGAATACATGCAGCAGTTTAAAAGATGAACAAATCCAAGATATTGTGGATTTGGGGTTTTTTTAAGTTGCAGAAGGAGAAGTACAGTATAGCATTTAAGTGTATATTTTATATGAATTCATAACTTGGTAAATGCATGACAAAAGCTCTGGAAGAATACACACTATATTAAGACTGGTGTCAGGGAGAGGATCAGAATTGGAGCCCTTAAGCTGTGTCTGTATTGTTTTCATTTTTACAAGAACATATTAATGTATTATTACATGATTAAAAATTAACTTCAGAAATCTCATAATTAATCTAGCACATTTTAACATTATACGTTTCTTAATTATGAGAGTTCACAAAGGAAATAAAAATATGTACACCGTCAGTCTAAATATCAGTACAAGAAATTTCAAAAAAGATACATAAGAAATCACAGGAATTCCTAAGCCATCTTTTAAGAAGCACTGTTCAAGAACTTTGCACCAGGCAGGCATTAAATATATTTATTTGTTTGATTATAAGTATAGTTTATATTTCCCATTTTTAATGTCACTACAGCTTGAGGGTCAGACACCTCAGAGGTGAGGTAACTCTCCTTTCTCTTCCTCTCACTCCAATATCTATTCCTGTCTTTATGTTCCTTTCTTTTTCCATTGCACATTCTTTTGTTTATCCAATCCTCTTAGTCTAGTTTTTAACCTTAACTTAGTCTGCCTTTAACCTGTCTTCCAAGACCTAAGTGTATCTTCAGCACTATTCCCTTCCTTGAACCCTGCAGCCACAAAAAATTGCTACATATCATCTACCAAATGATGTCTTCACCTGAGGTTCCAACTCTTCCCACTCCCTTCTTCTGTTTCTCAGTTCTACCCGAACTTAAAAACCACCTTAAATTCCGCTTTCTTTTCTTTCCCAACTGGTCCAATGCATGCAAGAAGTTCCTTCCTGTGTCATTTACTGACTTGGATGCCTTATTTAGCACTTACTACTAGTCTACGCTATTTATAATTTTATATATATATTCTGTCTCCAACTAGATTTTACTCTCAGTGACTCAGCCAAAGTAACAATTCTCCTGTTTTTCTTGGTACTCAGTCTTATTTGGCTGCTCTTGCTCTGGACTCCCACAGTATTCTGTACATGAGTGTACCATGGTTTTCCATATCAGGCTGTTAGATCTATATTTATTGACATTGTTACTTATTTCTGTGTTTTCAAAATAGTGATTGTAGCTGTTTATGCCCTTAGATAATTATGAATTATTTTCATATCTGTGTCCTCTGACTATGCTTCTTGATTTTGTCTTCCCAAATTCAGAGTTCAAATTCAGAATTATGCATTTTTCCCATAAACTGTCTTTGGCTTTCCCAAAATGGCCACCAAGTAACAAAAACACGTGCTCCTTCAACTTAAAAAGGAAGGCTACCACAAGAAAAGACTATAGACCAATATTGCTTATGAATATGGATGTAAAAATTCTTTACAAAATTCTAGCAAACTAAACCCAGCATCTTATTAAGAGGATTATACATCATGACCAAGTGGGATTTATCCAGGAATGCAAGGGTGGTTCAAATACAAAAATCAATCCATATAATACGCTATATTAATAGAACAAAGAAAAAACACACACAACTGTCTCAGTTGATGCAAAAAAAAATTTTGACAAAATCCAGCACCCTTTCATGATTAAAAAAAAAAACGTTGTGCTCACTTCATCAGTACATATACTAAAAAAAAAAATTGGAACGATACAGAGAAGATTAGCATGGTCCCTATGCAAGGATGACATGCAAATTCGTGAAGGATTCCATATTTACAAACAAACAAACAAACAAACAAACATCAAAGTAGGAATAGAAGGGCACTTTTTTTTTTTAAGATTGGCACCTGAGCTAACAACTGTGGCTAATCTTTTTTTTTTTTTTTTCTGCTTTGTCTCCCCAAATCCCCCCAGTACATAGTTGTATATCTTAGTTGCAGGTCCTTCTAGTTGTGGCATGTGGGTCACCACCTCAACGTGGCCTGACGAGCGGTGCCATGTCCACACCCGGGATCAGAATGGGCAAAACCCTGGGCCACTGCAGCGTAACGTGAACTTAATCACTCAGCCACAGGGACGGCCCCAGAAGGGCACTTTCTTAATTTAATAAAAGACATGTATGGAAAACCGCACAGCTAACATCACACTCAATTATAAAGACTGAAAGCTTTCCTCCTAAGATTAGGAACAAGACAAGGATATGTACTTTTGCCACTTCTCTTCAGCATTATCCTGGAAGTTCTAGTCATAACAATTAATCAAGAAAAAGAAATATAAGTTATCCAAATTGGAAAGGAGGCAGTAAAATTATGTGTATTTGCAGGAGACATGATCTTATATAGAGAAAATCCTAAGGAATCCACAAAGAAGCTATTAGAGCTAATAAAATAATTTGGCAAAATTACAAGATACCAGATTGAATACAAAAGTCACTTGTATTTTGATACACTAGCAATGAATAATTTGAAAATGAAATTAGGAAAATAATCCATAATATCAAAAAAATAAAATACTTAGGAATAAATTTAACCAATGAGATTTTTAAAAATACACTGAAAACTACAAAGTATTGTTGAAAGAAATCAAACAAGCCCTAAATAAATGAAAAGATATACCTTGTTCACGGGTTGGAAGACTTAATATCATTAATATGGCAATACTACCCAAAGCAATCTTCAGATGCAATGCAATCCATATTAAGATCCCAATGGCCTTTTGTGCAGAAATGGAAAAGCTGATCCTAAAATTCATGTGGAATTGCAAGGGACACTGAACAACCAAAGTAATCTTGAAAAAGAAAAGCAAAGTTGGAGAACTCACAGTTCCTGATTTCAAAACCTACTACAAAGCTACAGTAATCAAAACAGTGTGACATACTATTCATCCATAAAAAGGAATAAAACAGTAATACATGCTAGAAGATAGAGGAACCTTAAAAGCATTATGCTAAGTGAAAGATGCCAGATACAAAAGATCACATATGTTATGATTCTATTTATAAGAAATATCCAGAATAGGTAAATCCAGAGACAGAAAGTGATTGCTTGGGGAGATGGGGAGGGAGGGTTGGGGAGTGACTATTTAATTGGAATTTTCTTCCGAGGTGCTGAAAATGTTTTGGAACTAGATAGATATGATGCTTGCAACACATCATAGATGTACAAATGCCACTAAATTGTACACTTTAAAATGCTTAATTCTATGTTATGTGCATTTTACCTCAGTACAAAAATGGAAGCCTAATAAGAATAATTAGGTTTATTTCACATTCTTCAAATTTTAATTGACTCAAATTTGCTGTGAGGGCTCTTATGTTTACCAAACTTAGGATAAAAGAAAATTTACAAGCTAAAAGGTTTCAGTCTTTCTAAGTTAAATTATGTATAGGTAAACTATTAAGATGCATATGTTTCGATGATGTTGTACTTCTCAGGTTAAAAGAAGCATACTAATGTTCATGTACAAAGACTGTACGATAATAAGCCACAAAAGATTTTACTTATAGGTTTCCAGGTTTCAAAATTCTTGTCAACTGATGGCATGTATAATATATTTTATGAACTAAATTAAAGGTCCTGGAGATTTTTTTTAATACTCTCAGGATAATCCTAAATTAATCATCAACAGAGTATTCTACTCTTCTCTCTTCTGATAATGGTACCAAATATAATAAATCAGGGAAAGCTGTTTGGTCTTGTCACCAGTAGGTATGAACTGCTACTGTACTCACCAGCCGTCTAATCGGCTTGTACATGAAGAATCACCTGGGCTCAGCTAGGCAGTTCTCTTTCAGAGTCTCACATGAGGTTGCAGCCAGGCAGTAGCTAGAGTCATCTCAAAGTCTTCACTAATATGTTTAATGCCTGGGCTTGGAAGACTCTGTTTGAATTGTTTACTAGGAGATAAAACAGCTGGGGTCGCTCAAACCAATCTCTCCTTCTCTCCCTCTCTCTATTCAGTCTCCTGTAGAGAGTGTCCTTGGGTAATTGGAAGTCACATAACACTCTTCTAGCTTATTGTATTAGACAAGACAGTCAAAGCTCATTTAAGTTCATGGGGGTAGGGACATAACCGCCACCCCTTGATGGAAGGAGTGCAAACAACTTGCAGACATGTTTTGTGACCGCCACAGACTGGAAGACTGTCCCAGCCATAGACTTTCATCTGAGGAGTCTTAAGAATCTTCCAGAGGTAAAAAACTGCAAATAGGAAAGGCATCCACTGAAGACCTTCAGATTAAGTTAACAACTGCATGAAGTACACAGCTTCCACTCAGGACCTGCAGAACCAGATCCAAATACCTAGAACCAGAGATTATCATGCTTTAATATGCATGCTCTTGTTCTTTATTTTCTAATTATTTTTCTTACTCTTATCGGGTTTAAGACACTTGTTACCTCTTGACACCGTACCCATAAGGCCTTATTCTTTTTTTTTCTCCCCAAAGCCCCACTACATAGTTGTATATCCTAATTGTAAGTCGTTCTAGTTCTTCTATGTGGGAAGCCACCACAGTGT